AGGGGGAGTGTTAAGAGTGTGAGGACATTTCTGTCTTTTTGTGTTATTTTGTATTTGGGTGCCTATTCAAGGGCACTTTTTTAATTTTGCTAATGAATAAGAAATGAAAAGCCTCTTGGTGTGAATAGTGCTACACCAAGCTCTTCTCGACACTTCCTTCTTCTCTTCCTCCTTTTCTTCTCTCTTCAACATCTCTGAACTTTGCAACTTTTTTAATATGATTAAAAAGATTAAATGAGGTCTTATTTGTAAGTAGTAACCCACTTTAATTTGTATTCACTATTTATTTGATAAATTTATTTTTAAAAGGTAAATTAAGTTACGCTTCCAAAAAAGTTAAATCTAGTTTGCAATTAATAAACTATTTCATCTAAAAGAATGAAACTCACACCATTTGTATAAATTGTTTAGTCATTTTTATGAATTTAATTTATTTTTATTTTTATCCATTTAATATTTTGAATATTTTTAAGTTAAATTATTTGTTTAATCGTTATTTTTGAAATGGTTGTGTTTGAATAAAATTCAGTTACTACCATAACATTTGAAGTGGCCACTTTTTATGCTGTGTTTGGTTGCTGTGCAATTTTATTTGCATTAGTACAAATGCATAAGAGTGCCATGAAAAAAATGCAAATTCTCATTTGATTTTGTTTGGGGTTTTACTTTATTCTACTTCATGTCTCATTTTACTTCATTTGTACTGCAATGAAACAAAATAAGCTAAAATTTGAAATAAAAATAGGTCAGAATTTACACTCAAATCATTTGCACTGCCATGGTTTTGCATCAATACAAATTTGTTTGCATTGCAACCAAACACAACCTTAGGGATTAGGATGCTACGTGCATGAATTTTAAGAGAGTGGACTTATCACTTTTTTGTGAGTGGATAGACTTTTTTAAGAGTGAGAGTTTAACCTCTTCTAAGATTCTATCTATTGAAATTTTACAATGCCACATGTCTAAAGTGTGGGGGCATGATTTACCATGTTTTGATGTACAATTCATTGTTATTTAGTAAAGAGCTCTGCTATTGTTTTTTTGATAAATGAGAATGAGTGATGTTTTATTAAACATAAAATAGAAAAAATGTACATTCAACATAAAGGGAGGTGTGAGATGTTACCTCCCTTTAGAGTTAAACAATGAAGCACATTCTATCTTGAATTACAATTATAAGGTAGCCGAAAACAGGTCAGCCCTTGATACCCCTTGTTTAGCCAAAGAGTCAGTCATGGTATTGACTGACCTGCTAATCCACTGAAAACTAATTGACATGTTCCTTGTAAGCCAACGAACTTTCTTTAGAAGATCCCTGTAACCCCAATAAACTGTTTCTGGTTTTGATAACCAACCTATTACCACCTCGGAATTCCCTTCAACTATCAAGTTCTCCATTCCTAGTTGACCAACAACTTGTATTCCTTGTACCGCAGCTAGTATCTTCGCCCTTGTAGAGTCACCAAATCCCATTGGTCCTGAGAATAGACATATGATGTTGTTGTCCTTATTCCTTAGAATCCCTCCTTTACCCGAGGGCCCTGGATTACCTTGACTGCTTTTGTCAAAATTCAGTTTTACCATTCCTTTCGGGGGAGGTATCCATTCTGCTTGTAGAGTGTTCTTTGTGGGAGCTGTGGATGCCACTGCTGCCCAATTTCTCCTTAAATCATCAAAGGAATAGTTCCCAAACAGATCTTTAGTTTTCAGCCATGAAATTGTCCTTGCCATGATATACTCCTTTACTTCAGTTAGGCTTCTTTCCTTTTCTTGGAAGATTCTTGAATTTCTCTCTTCCCAAATTGTCCACAAACTAGCTGCTCTCATACACTTCCACATTAAAATCTTTTTGTTAGCTGTCCTAAGGTATGCAGTTCAAACAATAGCTTTACTTCATAGGGCAAATGAAGGGATGAGAGATCCATCATATGGATGGCCGAACCCTACATGTAGGTTGGGCGAAATTTCAAAAATTTCTCTCTCCCATGTGGGAATCAAATTCCCTATTTTAGAAAACTGCATTTTCAAGGATCAATCTTGAACCCTAAACCAGACCAGATCTGAAACCAAAAGGTAGGAGAGGGAAATATTTGATACAGAGTAGTAGTAACTTCTAATGAAGGTGTTCACGCCCAAGGAGATCACCAAAGACTGCTCCCACTGAAGATGACACAGCGTAGGGTGGAGCAGAATCAACAGGGTGGTTCATCAACAAGAACCTGATTTTTCACCAAGAATCCGATGGAGAGCGAGTGAGCACGACTTCAGATCAGTTTTTCTCAAAAAACTGATATCAAGAAGCTTTCTTGATCGCTCCTACAGGTGGAGATTGAACTGGCAATGGCGGCAACAACAGGAGAAGGAAAGAGCAGAAGATGGCGTCAGTCCAACTGCAGCTGTCTTCTCTCTTGTATCAGTAATCTGATGGGGTAAATTGGGGTTCGCCCTCCTCCTCTATTTATAGCTTTAAAGAGAGCTTCTCCTAATCCCATTAGGAGTTTCCTAATCCAAATCTTATATTTGGATCTGGACTCTCTAAGGATAATCCCTTATTTTATCTGCAGATAATGATCAGCCCTCCTAATCCCATTAGGAGTTTCCTAATCCAAATCTTTATTTGGATTTGGACTCTCTGAGTGGATAGGGATAACTCCCTATCCTATCTGCTGATCTAAATCCCAGAACCGCCCCTCTTTAATTAATCATATTAAACCAGTTCGAATTGGGCTTTAGGCCCATTAAGTCCATGTGCTCTCTTATCCTCCAAATTGCTGCCCAGTTGGGTATCCTTGTATGGCGTGGGACCCAAACATT